GCAATACAGGCTTAGAGAACAAAAAGAGAAGATGACTATGCTCTTATTTGTCACCGTATTTTAAAAAGCCTAACAGATTTACAGTGTGTCTTCTCATTTTTGTTCTTCTGCCTAAAGCAAATGGAAAACCTTTATATCACTATATCCCATGCATAGTGAAAATGTGCTATTTTCTTCCTTTGATCTGAAATCAGCTTGTCTGATTTTTAAAAAGCAAACAAATTCAGTTTTGATTTTTAAAACTAGTCAAATGGGCAGTGTTCTTTACTTAGAAGTCACTAGTGTTGCTGTTGATGTTACATGCTATCAAGTCACCACCCAACAAATTATTATTTATCTCCAAAATGCCCTGTCCTCAACATTCCTGTGGCTTCTTTTAGGGAGCCAATCCATCTTCCTCTTTTCCTGCTGCCTTCCCCAACATTATTATCTTTTCAAGAAAATCCTGCCTTCTCATGATAAGCTCAGTGTAGGACAACCTCAGTTTCATCATTTTTGCCTCAAGAGATAGCTCAGGGTTTTCTCTAGGACTCACTTGTTTGTCTTTCTAGCAGTCCAGGTTATCCACAATGGTCTCTTCCAGCACCATATTTCAAATGAATCATTTTTTTCCCCTGTCAGCTTTCTTTACTGTCCAACTTTCACACTCATTCATGGTGAGTGGAAATTCAAGAGTGTGTATGATCTTGGTCTTGATCTCCAGTGATGCATCCTTACAGTTGATTTATATATATATAATGTATATGTATATGTGTATGTGTGTATATATATAAATATATCCTTAATTGCTGTCCTTCCAAGCCTCAGTCTTCTTCTGATTTTGTGGCTGCAGTCTCCCTTTGGATTGATGACTGAACCAAGGTATAACAAATTTGTAACTACTTCAATAATTAAATTGTCAATAGTCACTAGTGAGCACAGGCCAAAAGAAAAGAATGCCAGTTTATGTTGTGGTCAGGAAGACTAAAATTCTTAAGAAAGCTTAAAAATCCAGCCCCTCATTTTCATAAGAATCCACAATTACATTCCCTATTAGCAAAAAAGGCAAAGCAAATTTCATTGTGCATACTTAAATGGGAGAACCATCATTGAGTCTTATTCTTATGGTTCACAGCTATTAGAGACCGTTACTGCCTCCTGTTCCCACATTTTCACTAGAGTACAATCCATTGAGTTGGATCAAGATAGATAGCACAGAAATCAATAGGACTCCCATTAGTCGCACTTCCACAATGGTTTCAATAGAACTTAAATGTGACAGCCTTGGTCTGGATACAGCCCACTGGTTTTACAGTGGACATCCATCAGAGCCAATAAATAAGAGTCAAAAACAGTCAAATATTGTTTGAGTGAAAACCATCAAACTGTAACTTTTGCTTGGAAAAAGTACAGTTCATTACAAATGGGCTCTTCCCCACAGAGTTAATTAGAAAACACTTCCCTCGGCCCAAGATGGTTTTAAAAAGCCAAACAGCAATATTATTGAATTACTAGCTTGCAAGCCTACATAGAACTGCCACAGTTTAACTAGCATAGATCCTTTTTAATTGGCAATGGTTTGGTTACCATGGCATATTTTCTTGACTTTCAAAATTGGTATGTGTCTTTCTGTGTGCCGACATGTTCCTGTCTGTATACTGACATGTTATCTGCTAAAGACAACCAGTTTAAATAAATGGGGGGGGGGACTCCATAGAATACATTAAATTGTGTTGCCACTACTTAAAAACATGAGCAACAAAAAATGTCACTGTATTATGGACTTTAAAGGCTTTTTCCTGAGAAGTTAGAAGGATTTGACAGTGATACTGATTTCTTAGATTAAAAAAAGGATGATCTGAGTATAGCTCCTGGCTCAGGGAGTAACTTTTGTGTTCATTCCAATATCTTTTTTTTCCTAAGAAGTCTCAAAATTTCCCTCACCTATCATTACAGTTCAGTACCAGATTATCTGAGACACCACCTTTTTCCACAGAAGAAGCACTAGTCTTTATGCTCTGTGGAGAAGGCACTGTTTACTACCAGCGTTTAATATAGTTTATTTAGAGGGTGACTAAATGGACACTTAACCTGCTGTTTAGTCCACAGTGGGCATGAGCTGGTTTACTCCTTTCAGCGCATCAGATGACACATTTGCTAGAGCAAACCAGCCTGTGTACAGAGCATTCCTAGCCACACCTTTCTGAATCCCTGTCAGGGGCTACTCTTTTTTAACTGTGGATATGACTGTTTCATTTTGGTTTGTTTCTTGAATGTGCAGTCACTGTGAGCTATTCAAAGTGGAGCAGACTGCTTTTAATTTCCCATATGGTTTCAGTCTCCCAATATCATTAGTGACTTAAACAGACAGCTTAACCACTTAATGATGTTTATTAAATAAAAAACAAACAAACATCATTAAGTGGGTACATTGGGTAACTAGGAAATTTACAAACAAACAAACAAACAAACATCATTAAGTGGGTATGTTGGGTAACTAGGAAATTAAAAAAGTCCTTTGTTCCTCTTCTCCTTTGCACTACACCTTTAAGAGAGAGAGAGAGAAAAGAAAGCTTCCTCCTGGAAATGGGAGTAGACAAGAGGGGCAAGGAGAGGGATCCCCCCTTTTCTTTACAACTTCTTTTCTTTCCAGCTTTTCTTAAAGAAGGCAGATTAGTTAGGGTCACTTAAGATTCATATCTTTATAAAATATTTTAAAGAACAACATAAAATCAAAACTGGAAAGGAACTAGTTACACATCAACACAATACACACAACTAGTTATCTGGGTAACAAATAAGCTAGTCACGACAACATTTGTAGTTATCTGCAAAAATTACTTCTAAAGGTCTTTTAAAGGCATTTTTATATGCTTTTTTATGAGGAACTGTTTTTGTCAGGTTTCATGCCATTCCCTTATCTATCCTAAGTGGCAAGAGAAGTATTCCTTGGTTTTTTGTCCTCTATCTTTTTGCAAATATTTACAAGGTGCAATATCAGAATTGGCAACTATAGGAACTAAAGAGTATTCCTTTCTATTCTTTCTACTGTGTTAAGGACAGCATAGCATGTTAACAATGAATGCCACAATGGACTATGCCACTACCGAAGCAATGATAATGATAATAATAAGTTGGCTGCCAAGAAGTAACGAACAATGCAATTGATTCCTTTAAAAAAAAATAATAATAATGTTCCATGCTCTGCCTAAAGTCAGATAAATAGACAGGTATCTGTCTGGCAAGTGTGGAGAATTCTAGGATTTAGATTTTTAAAAAAAAAAAAACTCACAACACCCCAAAAAATGAATGCATATGCCTAGTTAGCATGTCTTTAACCAATTTATCTACTAGCTAAATACATATATTCCAGAAGATCTGGAATTTATCATGTATTAGTATTCAAACATAGGGATGTAAGTATTCTCTTATGCCGTATGAAGGAGTGAAGAACTGCACAGTATTGCCATTGCCCTGTAAAATGGCAGACTGGTAAGATTGAGGACATTCCCTTCACTGAAATTAAACAGAATTCTGCAAATAATGCATTGATGCAACTAATGAAAGCACAACATGGCAATGGCTGTTCCTATGTTGTATTGGGTTTGAAGAATTTCAAAGATGGAGGTAGCATTTGCCAGTCACTCTGTGCTTGCTGTGCTCGTGTACTTTCTTCTCAAAGTGGAAGAACACTGGTTGTGCTCTGAAACGGTTCGTACAAATTAAGGAGGTTTTAATTTTTTTAAAAAAAGAGAACTCCTTTTGCTGCCTCATGAGGAGCAAGGAATCTCGTAGGGCTTCAGACCTCTTCTTCAAGGTGTCTTGTCAAGTTTTGGCTCATTTATCTTCTCCAGTGATGACTTCAAACCATTGTTTCCAAATCCCTACCTCTGTCCATTCTAAATCAGTATACAGAAGTTGTATGCAAAGAATGATGCAAAGAAATATGCAAAGAATGATGGCCTACCGTAATGTAATTCAGGAGAAGGTAGGGTGCCTTTTTTGGGAGAAAGAAGGGAAAATTACATGCATGCATGGTAAGATTTTGAAGCATTAAACATGGATTATGTCCCCATTTGCTGCCTTTCCCTATCGCAACAAACTTGTGTTACTTTTAGCACAGCAGGGTCAGCCATGCTTATGGAAATCAAACTGCAGTCTCAGCCTTTCTGCACATCATCACCAAAGATAATCATTGCTCTCTACAACTTATTTTCTGCTCTGGCTGCCTGATGGCAATGATGTATGAAGGAAGAATGATATAGCTCCATCTGCATAAGACAGGTTGATCCTGCACAGACATAAAGATGCCAACCCACTCCCCCACTCCCTCCACACACAAAGGAAATAAAAGGAAGGACAATTTTTAACCGAGAATTGAGCAAGCATGAGATGTAAATCATGGAGAGAATATACAATAAAGGAAAGCACAGTCATACTGGAATCAATGCCTGGCATGTTCCTCACCAGGCTAAAATTGCTTTTGACAACTCAGTCCAAGGCTCAAAAGAGGTTCAGGACATAATAAATTCAACACTTGTCATCAGAAGCAAACTTTCACAGTAAACATTCAAAAGATTATATAACTGTTCTCAAGGAGGATATAAATACGGTCTATAACATACGGTCGTAAAAGCTATAAAAGCAGAAGGAGGCACAGAAAGGTTTTGCATTTTAAGATAAGTTAACTAAAGGAGGATCATGGGAGGAACATTTTCTATGTCCTTTTCTCCCTCCAGCATAGCAGCTCCTGTGACCCAAGAAAAGCCTCTCTCAGTGTTGGGAAGGCATCCACAATGAGAGATAAGGCAAAAATTGGAGAGGGGGCATTGTGGATTATCAAGGCAAAAGTCCATTCTCCCAGCAGCCCCCATCACCCCATTTCACACTGCTCCGAAGGTCCCACTGTACTCCTTAAGTTAACAAATTCATGACACTGAGTTTAGGATTTTCAAAAAGACTTTGATTACCTTAGAGTCTCCAATCATGGAAGAGCAAAGAAATCAATCTTTAAAGGATACATGCTTCTTCTGTATAGGGAACTGTAGAAGCAGTCCCTCCAACTATGTAACTGTAGAAGGAGACTTCCAGGGTGTAGCAGTAAGAGGTGTCATCCAGTAACCCACCAAGGAAGCGACGTCCTGTCCCTGCCTTAACAGCGTCTCGATTGAAGGAAGTGCTTGACTGTCAGGAAGAAGATGAGAAGGTAATTCAAGTGAGGCTTCTGGCACAAAATAAAAAAGGACTAAAAGATATTTGTCAAGAAATAGCCCACTCCAAAATCACACTTGTGACAACTGGTGAACTAGATGGGTGTAAAGTTCCACAAACTGTTGTCCTCCTACTCTCCCCTCTACAGAGCTATGATGTAGCTAGTTATAAACAATTATTTATTTCTAAGAAAGTAATTCCTTTCGCAAATAATTAAGGTATAATCACAGTATATCAGAACTGTCACTTAATGAGTGCTAACGTCACTTTTCTTGTACAGTATAACCATAAGCTTTTTTGTTACTTCCATACCTAAGGTATGAGGAGGTAGACCAGAAGAGATTATAGATCAATGGCTTGTAGCCTTTACAGTATATGGTCTTTTAAAAGTACAGTACCTAAAAGTAAGCTTTCTGATTACTTTTGATAAACAAGAAGTAATGAAATAAGAGCAAGTTGTGCGGGAACCTAAAGACTAATAACTGTACTTACATTTGAAGAAGTGAGCTATGCTGTAATAAATCTGTTAGTCTTAACAAATCTTAACAAAATTATTTGTTATTTTGCTGCAACAAGATAAAAAAAGTTATTCCAAGGAAAGTAACAAGTTGTTGTTATTTAGTCATGTCCGACTCTTCGTGACGCCATGGACCGGAGCATGCCAGGCGCTCCTGTCTTCCACTGCCTCCTGTAGCTGGGTCAAATTCATACTGGTCACTTCGATGACACTGTCCAACCATCTCATCCTCTGTCATTGCCTTCTCCTCTTGCCTTCACACTTTCCCAACATCAGGCTCTTTTCCAGGGAGTCTTCTCTTCTCATGAGATGGCCAAAGTATTGGCGCCTCAGCTTCAGGATTTGTCCTTCCAGTGAGCACTCAGGGTTGATTTCCTTTAGAATGGATAGGTTTGTTCTCCTTGCAGTCCAGGGGACAGTCAAGAGCCTCCTCCAGCACCACAATTCAAAGGCATCAATTCTTTGGTGATCTGCCTTCGTTATGGTCCAGCTCTCACTTCCATATATCACTACAGGAAAAACCATAGCTTTGACTATGTGGACTTTTGTTGGCAAGGTTGATGTCTCTGCTTTTTAAGATGCTATTGAGGTTTGTCATCACTTTCCTCTCAAGAAGCAGGTGTCTTTTAATTTTGGGGCTGCTGTCACCATCTGCAATGATCACGGAGTTCAACTGGAATGCCATCACCTCCACTGGTCTTGTCATTAGCCATGCTTTTGAAGGCCCTCTGGTATAGTTCCTCTGTGTATTCTTGCCACCTCTTCTTGATGTCTTCTGCTTCTGTTAGGTCCCTCCCATTTTTGTCCTTTATCATGTCCATGTTTGTACAATATGTTCCTTCAATATCTCCAGTTTTCCTGAACCGATCTCTGGGTTTCCCCTTTCTATTATTTTTCTCTATTTCTTTACAGTGTTCATTTAAGAAGGCCCTCTTGTCTCTCCTTGCTATTCTTTGGAAGTTTGAATTCAATTTTCTGTAACTTTCCCTATCTCCCTTGCATTTGGTTTCCCTTCTCTTCTCTCCTATTTGTAAGGCCTCCTTGGACAGCCACTTTGCTTTCTTGCATTTCCTTTTCTTTGGGATGATTTTTGTTGCTGTCTCCTGTACAATGTTACAAGCTTCTATTTATAGTTCTTCCGGCACTCTGTCCACCAAATCTAGTTCCCGAAATCTGTTCTTCACTTCCACTGTGTATTCTTAAGGGATTTGGTTTAGATTATACCTGATTAGCCCAGTGGTTTTTCCTACTCTCTTCAGTTTAAGCTTGAATTTTGCTATGAGAAGCTGATGATCAGAGCCACAATCAGCTCCAGGTCTTGTTTTTGCTGACTGTATAGAGGTTCTCCATCTTTGGCTGCAGAGAACATAATCATTTTGGTATTGCCCATCTGGTGATTTCCATGTGTAGAGCCGCCTCTTGTGTTGTTGGAAAAGAGTATTTGTGATGACCAGCTTGTTCTCTTGACAAAACTCTATTAGACGTTGCCCTGCTTCAATTTGAACTCCAAGGCCAAACTTCCCTGTTGTTCGTTTTATCCCTTGACTCCCTACTTTAGCATTCCAATCCCCTATAATGAGAACATCTTTCTTTGTTGTCAGTTCTAGAAGGTGTTGTAAGTCTTCATAAAAATGGTCAATTTCTGTCTCCTCAGCATTGGTGGTTAGTGCATAAACTTGGATTCCTTTGATGTTGAAAGGTCTGCCTTGGATTCGTATTGAAATCATTCTATCATTTTTTAGATTGTATCCCATTTCAACTTTTCCCACTCTTTTGTTGACTATGAAGGCTACTCCATTCCTTCTTTTAGACTTTTGTTTCTGATCATGGAGTATTCTTGGTAAAGATACTGGAGTAGCTTGCCAATTCCTACTCCAGGGGGACTGCGTTTAGACAGAACTCTCCACTATGACCTGTCTATCTTGGGTGTCTCTACACGGCATAGCCCATAGCTTCTCTGAGTTACTCAAGCTCCTTCGCCACAACAAGGCAGCAATCCATGAAGGAGACGTAACAAGTTACAGCATGTTAATTTAACAACATATTGACCCTTGATAATATAGCTCTAATTAATTTTGTAACATTACTGTTTGTCATTGTCTGTGACTTTCCTCACCAATTTCATTTAGCAAGTTTTGTTTTGTGATTGATCATTTGAAGGTAAAATGGATTTGATTTGCAAGTCTGATTGCTGAGGTATGCATCTCTGAGGAAATCCTACTTTGGGAAAGAAAAATGGGCTAATTTCCAGGAATACATATTCCTCTTAATGTCTGGTTTAAGCTTCATTCATGTTTCCTTGGGTGTTATATTGTATCTCAAAATTATTCCTTCATCATCTTCCCTCATCTGTCTGTCCTTCTTTGGATATTGTTCATGGGATTTGGCTGTTTTCCTTACGTTTCTTTTATTGCTGGAACCCGTCCATAGTAGTGACAAGGCCACTGGATGTTTCAGTTAAATAATAACGTGAATAAACAATAAATAAAACCACTCCTTAAATATCTCTTACTCTGAAGTCAGAACTTATAAGTTCTTCTGACTTAAAGGCATAAAACTAATCTTAAAGCTGAGTTGGTGTTATACCACTTACCAGACCAAAGCATGTCAGATGCATGTCAAAAGTACTGCATATTGAAGAAATACAGTGGTGCCTCAACTTACAAACGTCCTAACATGCAACCATTTTGAGTTACGACAAGCTCCGTCCACAAAATCGTGCTTCGACATCCCAACATACAACCATTTTGAGTTACGACAAGCTCCATCCGCAAAATTGTGCTTCGACTTGCGACTGGAGCTTCCAGTTACAAACAGAAAAAGGCAGGGGGGAAAGGTGGGGAGTTCAAAATTGCTAACCGTTGGTAGGTGAAGAGCCTGCTTCTTTTTAGCTCTTTCGCCCCGACGGTTAGACAGTATGCGATCAAAGGAGGGTTTGGACTGCTGGTAAGGTAAGGTGCCACTTTCTACTTTTGAAAAACTGTTCTGGGTGGGTTTTGCATTATGGTTTTGGGCTGGGTAGTAGAGATTATGTTTCCATGCTATGATAGGTTGTGTAGGGTTTGAGAGAACCAAGGTGACTTACATAAGGGAGAGAGGAAGGCTGTCTCCTTCTGAACAATGTATTCATAATGTGTGTTTTTGTTTTGTTTGGTTTGTTTGCTTAAGGCTTTGCTTTTTTTTTCTTTTTTCTTTTTTTTGCATTTCCGAAGGGTCTTGAATGGTTTGTTTGCTTTTCTTCCCCCCCCCCTTTCGGCCAGAAAAGATTAATCACATTTCTGATGGGTCTTGCAGTGGGTTTGTGTGTGTGTGTGTGTGTGTGTGTGATTTTGTTCTTTGGTTGGAACGGATTAATTGCATTTCAATGCATTCATATAGTAAATGGTGCTTCGACTTACGACCATTTCGAGTTGCGGCCGGAGTTCCAGAACCAATTAAGTTAGTAAGTCGAGGCACCACTGTATTACTGTTTCTGTGCAGCGAAAGAACTCAGAGCTCATGTTGCTGTTCAGTGGGGATATCTTTGGGTAGTGTATATTACCCAAGGTTCCTAATATACTTGGTCAAGTTCCAAAGCTGCTATGGCCTTCATGTCTTGTTCCTGTGGCACATTGTAGACTCCATATCCTTTGAGGGAATGATTTTTATGTTCAGTCGACATTACATTATATATTCTAATTTGTATACTAATTGGGAGAGAGTTTAGACTGTCTGGGCAGTCAACCCGCGCGACATCTAAACCTTTAGTTTTGCATCCAACCTTGGGCAAGGCAGTATTTTGTGACAAAAGTCGGGAATGAATTTGTATCCTACTGTGAAAGTATAACAGCAACAAAGCAGAGTGAATTCTTTGCCTGAACTGCAGGTGAGCTACTGACAAAGCAATAAAAGACGTCCTGTGCCCATCACAACCCCCTGAAGCCAGCTGTCTTTTCAGGCTAGAACATATGCTCATTCATGCTATGCCATTGCTGCCAGGGATCAGAGCCTGAGAAGATGGGGGTATAAAAGTGATTTTGAAAGAGGGGAAAAGCCCACAAACAAATCCTGTCACTTGCAAGGAGGACCTGAGAGATAACAGACACCTTTGAATTCATGGGCAGCTCTTGATAAATGAGGTATACAGGGAGACAGTAGTTCAGAAATGCCTGCTGTTTTATTCAGGTAATATTAAGGCTCTGGTCTTGTTTCAGTTCATTGTCTTCAAATAAATTTGCAGATTTATTAAGAATGAGTGGAATTTTGTTTCCTGCTAGTAAACAGAATTCTTCAGATATTTTCCTTAAGTTTTATTCAGTAACATACCCATCAGTTTGAGCTGAAGATTGCCCCAGTATGGTGTAGAAAAGTGTCTGACTGGGTTTTAGGAGATCTGGGTTGAAATCCCAATTTTGGCTATGGAATCTCATGGTGGATAGCAATGGTAAATCACTCCTTGAACATCTTACATACATTA